GTCTCACTCTGTCGCCCTGGCTCGAGTGCAGTGGCATCATACAACTGACTGCAACCTCAAACTCCTGGGCTCAAGCCATCCTCCTGCCTCAGCCTCCCCAGTAGCTGGGACTAGAGGTGTGCGTCATGATGATTGGCTAAGTTTTCTATTTTTAGTGGAGACGAGGTCTTACTCTTGATCAGGCTGGTCTCAAACTCCTCAGATCAAACGATCCTCCCACCTCAGCCTCCCAGCACAGGCATGAGCCACCGTGCCTGGTCACTTTTTAAACATTTTTGTTAAAAACTAAGACATAAACACACACATTAGCCAAGGCCTACACAGGGTCAGGATCATCAATATTACTGTCTTGCATATTGTCTTGGCCCCCCGGATGGTCTTCAGGGGCAATAACATTCATGGAGTTGTCATCTCCTATATCAACAATGTCTTCTTCTGGAATACCTCCTGAAGGACCTACCTCAGGCTGTTTCAGTTTTTTTTTTTTTAATATATAAGCAGAAGGAATACACTCTAAAATATCAATAAAAAGTATAGTAGAGTAAATACATAAGCCAGTAACACAGTTGTTTATTATCAAGTATTATGCACTATACATAATTGTGCTATATACTTTTATAGAACTGGCAGACCAATAGGTTTGTTTACACCAGCAGCACCACAAACATGTAAGGAATGTTTGTGCTACAACATTGCAATGGCTACAACATCACTAGGTGATAGGAGTTTTTCAGCTCCACTATAATCTTACGGGACCACCATCATACATACGGTCTTTCATTGACTGCAATGTCATTATGAAGCTGACTGAATACATATACATGTATACATACACAGACGTATACCCATACGTAAGCAGAAATACACATACACATACATATAAGTATGCATGGTTTAATCTCTAAAATTTCCACCATGATCCTTCAAAATATCTTCATGGTAAGAAAGAGCATGAAATTATTTACATATTGGGGAGGAATACAAAAAATGATCTTTGCCCTCAAAGAATTTACAGTGCAACTGGCAGACTAGAAAATACATGTAATAATCTGAACAATGAAAGAAACTGCACAGCTGGATAGGACCCTACACCATCTTCTAGTTCAATCCTCATTTTAAAGACAAGGAACAGAGGTCCAGGACAGCTAAGACCCCAGATCACATGTTTTACTAGTGGCAGTGGCAGAACCATAACTCCGTTTTTATAACTGTAAACCCAGTATTCTCTTGTCTGTTCTCTCTCTGGTCTTAAACTTGCCATCACTGAATCTCGCACAGAAGAACATGAGGTACTGATGCCTGGGAAGCGGGCATGGTTACTAAGGACATCATACCGATTCACCTGCACACAGGGATGGAGAAGATTCTAGGCAGGAAAGCAACTTGGCTCTGTTGCCATGGAATGGGAAAGCCTTAAAGGAAAAAGAGCAGCCCAAATATGCAATGGCAGGTCCTGGCCATAGCCTCAGGAGATCAGACCCTACCCACATTCATGGAACCAAAAGATAATGCCACGTTTTGGAAGAGCTCTGGAAACATGTGGCTGGATTTGCCTGTACTCTGAAAGATGTACCAAAGGAATAAATGGATAGTCTAAGCATGAACTAAAAGCCAGACAAACTTGGATTGAATCCAGGTTACTTGACTTTTCTGAGCCTCAGTTTCCTCCTATATAAAATGGAAATAATAATTGTGCTACTGTGATTGTGAGAAATAACAAATGTAAAGCCCTCAGGACATTCCCCAGCATTCTGGACACTCGATAAACATCAACTATTATTGTAAGATGAAGAATAAATAAAGGATCAGTATTGTCTGGATCGCTGAAATATTGTACAGCAGTTCCTATCTATGAATATTATCATTAGTATAATACCACTTGGCTACCACAACCACCACATATTGAGCAGGTACCATGTACCCAGCCCTGATGTAAACTTTCCATACACTAATTCACGAGATACTCTCATCTACCATGGAGACAAGCATGGTTGCTATCCATTTCATAGGTGGGAAAACTGAGGCACAGAGAGGTGGAGTTATTTGTCCAAGGCCCACAAATAGCAACAGAGACGGGTCCAAACCTGGCTGTCTGGCTTGAGAGCCCCACTTCCTAACCACTGTGTACACTGCCTCTCCAATACCAATACTCCACAAAAGCCTCCTTCTGGCTTCCTGAGGGGTCTTCTCTCTACCCTCAGAGTCAAGAGACCTCTCCACCTGTGGCTCCTGCAACATGGCTCTCCTTTGTTCAGGCATTATCTCACCTGAACATAAAGATAAACATAGCAGGTCTAGTCAGTTTTCAAGAGCGTGGTACAAACAAGGATTATGATCCATAAACTTAAGAGGGAGAAAAAACTGAAAACTATGAGTTGGAGAAGACTGGGGAAGGATCATAAGAATTCTCAGGAGTAGAAAGAAAAAGAAAAGCATTCTCACAGGGGTAGGAAGGGAGACGTGGATGAGTGAAGGAGGCAGGGCCAGAAAGGATTTTTCCCAGGTGTGCATGTTTGCTCTGTCCCTAGTGACATAAGGACATGGGGCATCTTACCTATCAAATCAGTAACCGCACAGTGGATTGAGATTAGTGAACGGAAGTGTGTCTATTAGGAAAGGAAAAGAGCACTAGACGTGGACTGGGAGGGTAGGGAAGCATTCCCTAAGAATCCACCAATCCAAGGTAAAAGGACTTCTGCTCTGAAACCTGGTGATGACTGTACTGTGTAGAGAACTTCAGTGAGAAGGTTGAAAACAAAAAATCCATCCACTAAGAACAGAGATGGCAATGAGCTCACCTGAGACCCTGCTTCCCTTTGCTCCGCAGCCATGTCCTCCTCTGGGCTCCTCCCCCGAGGATGGGTGCAGTCTCCAGAAGGCAGATCTGCGAGAAGAAAAGGGGAGCCAGGAGGAAGCCCCTTCTGCTTTCCAGCCCTGAGAGTCAGCAGCTCCGAAATCCTTACACCACCTGACAATGACCCCGTGTGCCCTCAGAGACGGAAGACAGAAGGACCCAGGAGTCCAGAGAACCAGAGACAAGGGCTGGGCCATGCTGGTCCAGGCCCCAGCTCTCGCTGGCTCAGAGTCCAGAGAACAGGACTCCAGCAGCGGCAGCGACTCCGAGCCCCCTGCCTACGTCGTCAGTCCCGCAGCGCCAGCTGGCATTGCTGGCGCCCCCATTTTACAGACCAGGAAACTGAGGACTGAGTGGGGGCCGCTCGCCCCGCTGCACACCGCCAGCGAGGGTGGCACCGCGACCGGCCCCGAGCATCCGCTCTGATCCCACTGCGCGCCGTTGCCAGCTTTCCTCCTCCTCAAGCCTTTCCCACCCGAATCCTCTCCCCCCGTCAAGGAATCAAATTCCAGACTTTTACGGCCAATTACCTCAAGAAAGGAGAGTGCTGGAGGGGGCCGACTGCAGGAACCCGCACAGAAACCGAAGTTCCGAGCCCGCCCTGGCCCCGCCACGGGGGAACGCGCGCCCCGCTCCCGCGGAAGGCGCACCGCCGCGCCCGCGCCGAGGGAGGAAGCGCGTCCCCCACGCGCCCACCGAGGCCGCGGCGCCGGGCGGGAGCGCGCTGGGAGCGGCCTGCAGGCAGCAGGAGCGAGGCCCGCCCGGCGCCGGCGGGGACCAAGCGCCCGACCTCACGCGTCCGGGGCAGCGTCGGGCGCGGCCGGAGGGGGCCGGCGACAGACGCGGAGGTGCTCGCCCGCACCCACAAAAGCCCCTGGGAGGCCCCGGCGCCGCATCCTCCCGCAGCCCGGGTCCGCCGCTCACCTCCCCAGGCTCGCGGTTCCCGAGGGCCGCGCTTCCCCAGGTCGCGCGCGCAGGCGGGAGGCTCGGAACTGCCCCCGCCGGGCAGCAGCCTCGCGTCCGGTCTCCCCCGGGTGACGACTGGGCGAACCTCGGTCCCTGCGGCCGCTCACCCGGCCGCGAACGCGCCGCGGCCCGCTCAGGTCCGGGGGGCGGGGCTGGGGGCTGGCCAGGGCGGCCGCACGGGCCTCCGGGAAATGTAGTTCACGGGGCGGGGAGCCCAAGCATTCTGGGAAGCGTAGTTCTCCCGTTTGCTTAGGCCGGGCGTGGACTGAGCTGTCAGATGCTCTAACCCGCCAGGTGAGGGCCCTGGTGAGCTGTAGGGCTGTGGGTTCCGGTTCTTTGGGAAGGGACTAGGGTGGAGTCTTGCAGCTTTGTGTGTGTGTGAATGATGGGAGGGCACTAGGTACTGGCCAAGAACCGACCCATTCCCCAGAAGGGTACTGAGCAGCTGGTGTGTGCCAAGCACTATTGTAAGTGGTTTGAAATACATCACTGCACGAAACAATGAAGAATATTTTTGAGGGGTAGGGAGCAGACAATAAGCCATGAATGTAATTATATAGCATTCGAGAAGATTTGTAATGGGAAAAAGCAAAATGAAAGCAGGTAAAAAACATAAAAAGCAGGTCAATATCTTTATCAACGCAGATGCAAAAATCTTGAACAAAATACTAGCAAAGTGAATTCAGCAGCATAGTAAAAATTATATACCATGACCAATGGGATTTATTCCAGAAAGCCAGGATGGTTCAACATACAAAAATCAAGCAATGTAATATGCCACATTAATAGAAAGAAGGGGGAAAAACCCACATAATAGTCTCAACTAATGTAGTAAAAGCATTTGACAAAATCCAACACATTTCCATGATAAAAACACTTAATAAACTAGGAATAGAAGGGAATATTCTCAACAGGTTAAATAGCATATATGAAAAATCCACAACTGACATCATACTCAAT